ATTAGTGACGTGACATGTGGCCAAGTATGGTAACCCATACTCGGAATTAGTGGTCTGCATTTATCCCATCCAAAGTGCACACACACACAGCAGTGAACACACACACACCGTGAACACACACCCGGAGCAGTGGGCAGCCATTTTTTTGCTGCGGCGCCCGGGGAGCAGTTGGGGGTTTGGTGCCTTGCTCAAGGGCACCTCAGTCGTGGTATTGAAGGTGGGAGAGAGCGCTGTACATTCACTCCCCCCACCTACAATCCCTGCCAGTACGAGACTCGAACCCACAACCTTTCGGTTACGAGTCCGACTCTCTAACCATTAGGCCACGACTTCCCCCATCATAGTTCCACTATGTAGTTCCGTTTGGTGATCACATTTAGGGTGTTTTTTAAGTGCACTGCTCTGACTCAGAGTCAAACCATCTGGTTGAACTTGGAAATGAAATGACTTCTCTGCTATAATGACTCAAATTACATTTTGCCTGACAACTTGATTAGAATAAAGATGTTAGAGTACATTTGTACGGGATGAAAATGTATTAAAAATTCATACTGACTTCATACATGACTTCATACATTCAATCTTTCATGACTTTCCAAGAATTTAGATGGTTTTTCCATGACTTTTTATGATAATAATCGCCATCCTTTTCCGTGCCTGGAAGTCCCTTTGAATGTCCCTGACATGTTCAGTTTTTAAAATTATAATAATTATTAAAATAAATTGTATTTAAAGGTGACATATCATGAAAATCTGACTTTTCCAGGTTTTAAGTGCTATAATCAGGTCCCCGGTGCATCGACCAACCAAGGAAACGTGAAAAAGATTAACCCAGTAACTTTGTTTTGGTAAGCCTTTTTCTGCCTGAAAAAACGAGCGCATCTGATTTGTTGCAAAGGGATCTCATTATATTATCACTGCCCCTTAATCTGTAAGTTTCCACCCACGGCGCCAGATGGTCCTCACTGCTGAACACAAGATCCAGGGGGCGTGGTTGGATCCAGATCCAACTCCTCCCACCTTACCTAAACCTACCCGTCTCCACCCCCCACGCGAGCAGTGGATTTATTGATTTATTTAGTCTATATTGCTGCTGCCACACAGATCTAAAATAAACATGCGATTTATTTCCCAGCTGTTTACCTTCACAGACATAACCGACTGTTTTTGTAACTCGTGTGTGTTTTTAACGTAAACTTGTGTGTGAATGAGAACTTAGTTTAGTACTCACATGCTGTGACAGCCGCTTTCTGTCCGTGTGCTTCGGATGTGTGCACTCAGAAAACCGTATATCAGAAGTTTAAACTAATATGGTTTAAAACGCATGATTTCAGCGCGATAAACATGATAATCAGAACCAAAACAGATGTTTTTTAGCAGGTACAAACTGTAATGGCGCAGCTCTATTCTGGAAAAAGGGGTGAGGAGCAGCAGCTCATTTGCATTTAAAGAGACAGGCACGAAAGACGGTGTGTTTCTGCTTCCACTCAAAATAGGCATTTTCAAAATGATATAATAAATGATCTGTGGAGTATTTTGAGCTGAATCTTCAGAGTCCCTTCATCTCGGGCCGGACGAGGTCGTCTCAGAGGAGCAACCCAAACTTGGACGAGCACAGCAGCCGTGTAAGGAAGAGAGAGACACCGGCAGCCTATTCTCTCCGCCAGCCGGTTAGCGAGCTGCTCACTCTGGTCTTTTGGAGATGGATGGATGTATAGATAAATGGATGGATTGGATGGTTGTCCACCTCTTTTGTTCCCAAATTGCGCCTTGAATGATACTTGGCGATGCAGAAATTGCAGTTTAATGAGTAAACTTTGAACTCGAGTGTTTATGTGTGACTTTAGCTGCGGTGTGTAATCGGCTCTTGACACAGGTTGTGTTTTGTTGATGTTTTGCGCATTAGAGTGCTGTTTGAAATGATAACATCCATAATTCACATCGCAGTGCTTTAAGTCGTGTGGACGTGTTCTCAAGATACTGCCATGTTTTTTGACCATGCACCATGGTACTCTCTGGTATTCAGTACTGTGGTATATATCACAGTGAAAAAGTTCCATGCTGTTGCCATCTGATATCATCATTACCACCACAATACTTTTTGAAAGTGTGTGCATTTTAATTATAGTTCTTTGCTAGTTGTCAAGGTTCTTGGGAGTTATTTGAACAAAAAATCCTATACCACTGCCACAAGTTTTTGGCATAAGAGGTTTAGGCTTTTCCTCTTTTCTGGCGTTGAATTTGGTCAGTGTTTTAACGGAAGATTCTTTGTTTTACTTTGTAATGTCACTAACTATTTAATTGATCTCCAGCCTTTCAGTTAGATTGATTGATTTCATGAAGGTTTCCCCACAGTCATTGAAAACCTGGAAATATCAATGAATTCAATGCAATTTATAACATTTCTTTAATGAGTATGCATTTGAGGTTTTTGAAATTGTTTTCCTGGTGTGGAATAATCAAAAATAATAGTAAAAGTCATAAATTCTTTAACAAATATCAATTTTTCTAAAAACAATTTTGCTCTTGTGTACGGTAAAACTTTTTTTGCAAGATTTAATGATGTATTATTTGTGTGAATGATTTTTTTTTTTTGAATGAGTCATCAAACCGATTCACAAGTCGTTCTAAATGATTCCTTAGCTATTCATTCTGAATTTGAATGCTTTAAAAAAATTCTTATCCAGTAATTTGCAAACAACTGGAAAAGTCATGGGAATTCATTGGTTATAAAGTATTATAACACTGGCCTGATTTCATCAGTAGACTGTTTCTTTATTTTCTCACCTTACATGTGTTGGGGTGGTGTAAATGTGTGAATCACAGAGTTATTTAGTCAGCAGGGAGGTTAGAATGAAATCTGGGAGGAGATGAAGAATTTGGGAGATGACATGAGTCTGTCGCTCGCAGGATCGGTAGAGAATGATGAAGTCTGTGTCACATGAATCTGCAGGTTTTTTTTAGGCGGCTCGAGGACTCAGCTGTTATGTTGCACCGAGTGTCCCTAATGCAGATTTTGTTTGAGAGTGTTCCTTAGCTATTCATTCTGAATTTGAATGCTTTAAAAAAATTATTATCCAGTAATTTGCAAACAACTGGAAAAGTCATGGGAATTAATTGGTTATAAAGTATTATAACACTGGCCTGATTTCATCAGTAGACTGTTTCTTTATTTTCTCACCTTACATGTGTTAGGGTGGTGTAAATGTGTGAATCACAGAGTTATTTAGTCAGCAGGGAGGTTAGAATGAAATCTGGGAGGAGATGAAGAATTTGGGAGATGACATGAGTCTGTCGCTCGCAGGATCGGTAGAGAATGATGAAGTCTGTGTCACATGAATCTGCAGGTTTTTTTTAGGCGGCTCGAGGACTCAGCTGTTATGTTGCACCGAGTGTCCCTAATGCAGATTTTGTTTGAGAGTGTACTTCCTGTCATTATGTTTCTCTTTGTGTATTCTGCATGCTCCTTCAAGCTTTTTAATATCCTGCACACCACTGTCTGTTACAGAAGGAGCCCAGCAGTGATGTTAACAGCAGTAGTCCACGTTTGTCCCCGCCGCCCAAGCGGACACGCAGACAGACGCCACCAAGTTCTACCGATACTTCTCCAAGTCCCCAGAGTAAAGGCCAGAGAGGCCCGTGGACCATGTCCAAACACTGTACTAGGTGAGGTTTGACAATCGATGTAGAGCTGCATGAGTAATACTTATGTTGATGATCCCATCCCATTGTAATCAAAGAAATGCTGTTCCGAAAAATCTTTTATTTACATCATGTCTAGGTGTAGTTGATTATAATGGCAGCATTTTAGTTTTGTGTTGCTTACAGTGTATTTTGTTTTTTTACACAGTGCATGGCAAGCGAGCAACATAACATGAAGCAAATCCAAAATATTGTCAGTAATTTTGCTTTGGTTCTAAGGCTTCTTTTTTGGGTGTCAGGCGATGTTTCTTTTGCACTCATTGTAGTGTGCTATCATGATAGTCTGCAGTGTGCATAAGGCTGACTAATATAAAGGACTAATATAAAGGCCTGTGATTGGGCGTTGCATTCATGCACTCAATGTATACATCTGTGATTGGCTGTAATGCTCAACTATTGCAAAAAGCACATTTTTGAAATAATTCTCAAGATTAATCACAGAAGCTGTAATGCTAAAGCCCAGTTTATACTTCTGCGTCGAACCTACACCGTAGCCTGATGTGCACCTCTCCAAAAATCTAACAGCGCGCCAATTCTACGCGGACCGCAAGCGCTGTGATTGGTCTGCTAGAACCCCTCCCTCTGTATGTACTTGAGTTTTGTGTGTGTTTATGTGCACTTTAATATATTTTAATGTTACACCTTCTTATATAAAATAAAACAAAGCAAAGAACAAGTGTCTTATAATTTATTATACTACATAGCATTATATATCAGTAGGGCTGGGTATCGTTCAAAAATGTTCGATACCGATACCTTGACTTCGATACCGGTTCCTGAACGATACTTTTTTCTATACCAATTTTATGAAATAAATTTTAACAAGATTACATTATCTAAAAAAAAAAAACACGGCTTGTTGATGTTTATACAAACTCAAAGACTCATCTCCTGAGCCACTGCACAAAGGAACAAAATTTAACCAACACAATAAATGTCACGGCTATAATGCTTCTCCGACGAGCCGCTTCTTCTTCGGCTTTTGCTGTGGTACTGCGGGTTACACCAGTAACATGCCCGTGGACACTGCAGACTAGCGGTTTGCATGTGTACTGCACGTCGACGCAGAAGTATAAATGAAAACGGACGCATAGCATACGGCATAGGTCCGACGCAGAAGTATAAATCAGCCTTAAAACTGATAATTTTTTTAATTAATTGTGCAGCTTTAGATCCATTTGCTAACCGATCTGCTTAATCTTAATACTTGAGACTTTACAGTTCAGATTGAATTTGGGAATTTTCAGTGTTGTTGGAAATTAGGTTTTAGACGAGATTTGCTTTTACTCGCATAGAAACAATTACAGTTGTCTAGATTCAGAGAAAATTCTTTAAATGTTTGTTTCTTATTTATGTGCTAAAAAAAGTAGTATTATTATTTGTTGTAAACTATTTCTCATGGAATTTCGCATTGTCTTCCAGGTTGTCCACTGGTGCCTTGCAGAATGGACACAGTAAGAGTATATTATTTATTTTGATTTACTTAATGATTCCTGCAATGAAGAGTTCACCCAAAAATGACTATATTGACACGCATCAGATTTCTTTCCTAGCTGTTTATGGTAATTATGGCAACGAAAGAGAACTTAATGTAATACTGTAAGGATTGACACTTTATATATGTAACCCTCAAATTAAATATGCTGCCTTTTTTAAGCTTTAGTTTAAAAAAAAAAAAAACATAAAAACAATAGAAATTGATAGAATGGAAATGTGGTCACCTATGTATACATAGTTATGTATGTATTATGTATAAGTTATGTATAAGTTATTGATGAAAAAATGTGTCAGATATCACAGGGCTCGACATTAACGCTTGTCCGGGACAAGTGGATTTTGTGAAGGGGCAAGTGAAAGAGAATTTTGCTTGCCCGACCGGACAAGTAACCTGATTAAAACATCAATAACAAACAATAACTAGGGCAGCACCGAAACTTTGGTGAGAATGATTCTGATTTTATTACTTTCAGAGTAAACGGTGACTGATAACGTATAATGTTTTGACAGTATCAAGGTTGCGTCAGTTGAGGCTCGTGCACCTATCTGACTCACAGAAAAATCTAAACTAATAGGTGCAACAGCGCACACACAAAGAAACAAACATGAACAAACAGACTGCGGTAGGAAAAAATTGATAAATATTCTATATAACATGATATAGGAAAGCAACATCACACGACCAAGTACCAGCACAATTGCAAATGTGACATTGATTTTATACAACAGT